AAAAGATCATAACTACACCTAGAGTCCCAGTGGTAAAAATCATGGTGTTAAGATTTTAGCATGCCACTATAGTCATGTGAAAAGGTAAGCACACACTTTTGAATATTTTGCCTTTTTCAGCATATTTGCTCATCTCAACAATATTAATAACAGTATGTAGTATAAGAATTATTATGCCCCATTTACATGTTTTAGTACATTGTGTGATTTAAATTTAACATTAATGCAAATTTCACATGTACAAAAAAGAAATACAACACTACATTTATAGTTACCTAAAAAACCTAAAATTAAAATCAGGTGCAGAAGACTAGATGGAAATGATTAGAATATTGCTAGTTAGAGTCTGGAAGGTGCCTGTCTTATTTAAATCTCAGATGTTGAGTTTAATTTGCTCTTTGTTGTGTAGAATACATGTGTAGAATACCATGTCTAGATTGAAAAAAACTCTCCAGGCTCTCAAAAATTAGGATATACAGTAGATGTCAATGATTCTGGGAAGGGATTTTTAAAAATTTCCAAACATTGAACATCAATCATTTCACTAAAATAATCTGGAAGATCATCTACAAGTAGAGAAGATTTCAAACTACTGCCAACTTGTCCTGGCCAAACTGTACCAATAGATTCAGCCCAATATGTTGAAAAAGGTATCTAAGAACCCCAGAAAGTTGTTATACAACCTACAGGTAGCTTATGCCACTATTGATATCAAAGTACACAAGTCTACTGTTAGAAAGAAGCCACTAAATTCAACCTCCATGTGCCAGTGATATATTTTTTGATATAGAAAGGATATCAGGGCAAGAATAAATTTTGCTCATGATCACCTAGGCAAAGACTAAGACTTCTGGAGAGGTAAGGCAAAAACAGGGTCACTTGGCTAGGGTACCAGGAACCGTGTTTGGCAAAATCCAACAAAAAGCATTTTACCCAAAGAACCTGATGCCAACTGCAAAAGCATGGTAGTGGAAATGTTATGGTTTGGGAAAGAATCCACTATGAATTCTTCATAATACCAAAAGGTACTTGAGGATAAAGGGAGACCATCTGTCAGAAGATTAAAGTTCAACCAAAAGTGGACCTTGCAACATGACAATGACCCTAAACATTCCATTGAATCCACCAAGTAATGACTGGGGAAAAAAAAAAGAAACAAAGGGTTCCAGACTGGCCAAGTCAAAGCCTAGATGTAAATCCCATCAAGATGTTGTGAGATAATTTGAAACAGGATGTGCACGCAAGAAACCTCTCGAACATTGCATAGCTAAAAAAAAATTACGAAGAACTAAAAAAAAAATTCTTCCAATTAATGTCAGAGACTGGTTGACCGTTATAAAACCTGCCCCAAAGGGGCCAAATATCAGATATTAGAACCAAGGGCATTCTCACTTTTTCCAGAGAATAAAAATGACACGTTATTTTTTTCTGGTTGAATAAATGATTGCAAAGTCAATTTCCGATAGAAATTGTTTTTTTCTGTGTTCAGTTCAGAAGTGGTATTCAAAGGGTTCTGATCAGTTCTGGAGAACCAGTAGCAGAAATTTTGAGTAGTTCGGACAACCGGCAAATACCACCTCTGACTGGAGATTTTACGGTATCCTTCCCCTGCCGTGCCCAAGCCACGCCCACAGAACCAGTAGTAAAAAAATTTGAATCCCACCACTGGTTCAGTTATGTTACCGTTATATTTATTATACTCTTTGAATGAAGATAAAATATTGGTATGGCCACATGTTAAAAAGGGGGGGGGAAACGCTTTTAGTTGGGGTGTGCTTACTTTTCTGCGTATTTTGATAGTGCAGTATCACAGAACAACAGATTTGCCTCATTTTCATAACAAATGAGGCAAATCTGTTGTTCTGTGAGATTCAGTGAATATAAGTGGTTTCCTAGGGGTCAAAAAAGTCAAGATGGCATGCACACAAAAGGGTTGTGTCCTCAGTCACAGGTTGGGGGCATGGTCTTGATATTTTAATCCCTTGTCCTTGTATGGAATCTCTTCAGATTTATTATATGAGTTGAAGTGCTCCCTTCCACCCTTCAAAAATATATATATACTGACATATTTACTATCCCCACTCAAATAGATTAACAGAATTGAAAGGGACCTTGTAAGTCTTCTAGTCCAGCTCCCACCCCCAAGCAGGAAATCCTACACCATTCCTGACAGATGGCAGTCCAGTCTCTTCTTGAAAACTTTCAGTGATGAAGCTCTCACAACTTCTGAAGGCAAGCAGTTCCATTGGTTGATTGTTTTCACTGTCAGAAAATTTCTCCTTATTTCTAAGTTGAATCAGAAATAAGTTTCCATGTTTGATCAGTTTCCATCCAATGTTCCTTATCTGGCCTTCAAATGCTTTGGAAAATAGCTTGACCCCTTCCTCTCTGTGGCAGCCCCTCAAATATTGGAACAATGCTATCATGTATGCCCTGGTCCTTCTCTTCACTAGACTAACTATGCCCAGTTCCTGCAACTGTTCATGGTATGTTTTAGCCTTCAGTCCCCTAATCATCTTGATTGCTCTTCTTTACACTTTTTATAGAGTCTCAATATCTTTTTATAATGTGGTGACCAAAACTGGACGCAGTATTCTAGGCGTGGTCTTACAATGGCTTTATAGAGTGGCATTAGTACCTCACTTGATCTTGATTGTATCCTTCTCTTAATGCAACTCGCTGCAATCTTATTTCTGTCCAAGGTAATGATTAATAAAACCTAGAGAAATTTTAAAACACTGAGGTTGCCCTGGGACAAGGACAGAATGAAAGGGAATGCCACTTTAACACAAGTACAGCTAAGAACGATTTAATCCTGTCTTATTCATAGGTGGATGAGTATCATTTGGCACAGCATGAAAAAGATATTGCCAGGACATGTTTGTATCATAGTTTAGGTGCACAAAGATTCCATGAGGAATGTTTTGACTGTGCCTGCCTTTGCATAGCATTACAGGAATGAGAACAGATCACTCGTTTTATTTCTTCTTGCAGGTTTACAAGTACAAGGTCCGGGGCAGTGGTAGTGTAAAGGGAGAATCAGACCTTATGATTGCTTTACCTAGCCTGATGCCTTCCAGATCTACAGTTCTTCAACTCAGTTCTTCAACCTAGAAATGGAAGGCTACCTGACACAACTGCGCCTGGAGTGCACTTTCTACTGTATTTGGAGGAGAGCAAAGAGGGCCTACTTAGATTGCCCCAAGGGAAAGTCACCAAGTGAAGCCACACAGCCACTTTACCGCCTGTTTTTGTTGCTCCCCGCTGGGAGGAGGTTTTGAAGTGTTTCTACTAGTACTACCCGATTCTGTAATTGCTCCCTATGCCATCCCTCTGGTAAACTCGCAAGATTAGTTTCTCTCGCCATGCACATCAGTAGTGGGATTCAAAAATTTTTTACTACCGGTTCTGTGGGCGTGGCTTGGTGGGCATGACAGGGAAAGATAGTGCAAAATCCCCATTCCCTCCCCACTCCTGAGGGAAGGTAACTGCAAAATTCCATTCTCTCCCCACCCCACTAATCTGATTTCCAGCTCCGTTCTCCTGTGCAGGGCAACAAAAGAAGACCCAGCCAATCAGCTGGAACTTGGGAGGTAGAGACTAGATGTGGACAGGTGCAGTATTTGCTGGTTCTCTGAACTACTCAAAATTTCCAATACCCGTTCTCCAGAACTGGTCAGAACCTGCTGAATAACCAGACTTGAAATTCTAGACCTAGAAAACCTAAAACTACGCTGCCTTCGGTCTGATCTAAGTATAGCATATAAAATTATATATTGCAATGTCCTACCTGTCAATGAATACTTCAGCTTCAACGATAACAATACAAGAGCACACAATAGATACAAACTCAAGGTAAACTTCACCAAACTTGATTGCAGGAAATACGACTTTAGCAACAGATTGGTCAATGTCTGGAATACTCTACCTGACTCTGTGGTTTCTTCCCCAAACCCCAAAAACTTTAACCTTAGACTGTCTACTATTGACCTTTCCTAAGAGGCCTGTAGGGGGCGTGCATAAGTGCACCAACGTGCCTACCGTCCCTGTCCTATTGTTTCTTTTTATTTTTCTTATATGTATCCATTTCATGTACTCGTAACTATGTCTTATACCTGTAATCTTATAATCGCTTGACTAAATAAATAAATAAATACCACCTCTGCCGCACATGTATACATCTGGACTAGACTGTTGTTTCTCTGTGTCATATACGTGGATATATATACATAATTTTCTTTCTTTCTTTATTTTCATGGTCATGTAGTGTATATTGGAGGTGGCCAGAAGTGCATGCAACGAAATTTCATTTTCGTGCGTGCCGATTAGCGTACATTCCTAGTGACCATAAAGCTATTCCGTTCTATTTTGTTCTATTCTTGAACCGCGTTCTTCTTTTAGCAAACGTCACTGGCGTGTTCGCGAGTATGAGGGACGAGAGATTCATTGATACTAGGGACTGCTTTCGGACACGGATGGCGTGAATCATTCGCGTGAGTAGGGCAGCCCTCGCCGCCCGAAAACTTTTGGATGCATTCCCGTCCCCGCCGTCACTCCGGGGTGGGGCTCGGAATTGGAAGCCTGCCCCTAGAAGGTGAGAGGCGGCCGCCCGCAGAAACCAGCCCTGAGCCGCGTGAGGGACTCTCTCTCTCTCTCTCTCTCTCCGGGTGCGGGGCCACGTGGAAGCCCCAAACAGCGCAGGTTTGGGGGTTTTTTCCCCCCGGCTTCCCCTAACTTTCGCGGAAAGCGCCCGAGTGGGCGGGAAACGAGAGGCTGAGTCGCGCAAAAAACCCCTTTTCGAGATTGCGTGGCTTCTCCCCAGCCAGAAAGGCGCAGAGGCAGGAGAAATCGCTCCGGGGTAGCCCCAGTTTATCGCCTCACTGAGTTGGTCTCGAAAAGTTTTGAAGAGGTTTCGGAGAGGGAGGAGCAAAGAAACCCAGCGCCCAATTTCCCCTTTCCTTTTTTTTTTTTTAATCGCTTTCGTCGGGTCCCAAATTTATTGATTTATTGCCCGTCGAAACGAAGGTGGTTGGAACGAGGGCGATGGGGTTTCCCTCGTGAACTTTCCTACCAGTCCGGCGCTAGACGAGGACCAGAAGAAGGGAGGAAGAAGAAGAATCCCGCCCCAGAGGATGCTAACTGAAACCAAGTAATGCCAGCATGTACGTTTCTGACTCGGCACTTGTTCTTACTGAAAGGAATCGCGCTTTGCTTCCCTTCTCTTTTCCCCGCATTTTCCAGTCCCTTCTTTTCCTTCAAGCCTTGCGAATCGGTCTCGGTTCCCTTGTCAGCCTCTCTGGAGAAGCGAGCGCGTTTTGTCTTGTACGCTTCCCTTGCATTCCGGCCAAAGGATTTGGTGCCCTATCTCTTCTTCTTGTTTTCCCTCCCATTCCTAGTGACTTGATTTTCTTTTGCCTGAATGAGGATCGGGGGTTTATGGTTTAGTGTGTCATCAGGAGAGATCCGGTGACTCGTTCTGTGCAGAGAAAAAGGTAGGGCCCCAAAAGCTAACTTTAAGGAAGAAAAAGTTAAAAAGAAAAGAGCCCAGCAGCGATGGAACAGACCTAAGCCCAGTCTTTGAAAGTGGACAGCTGGATGATCACAGGAAAGTTCTTTCTGTGGATTTTCTTTTTTAAAACCAAATGAGTTCATCTGGTGGATTTAAAGTCATAGATGGACTGGTTTGGGTTTTCTTGCAGGTTTGCAGTGCAGCCCAGATGCAGCCCACTCATAAAAGTAATTGACATTTACTTTCAGTTTTTGTGTAGAACTTCGATTCATAGCCTCAGATCTCAGCTAAATATTATTTGGGGGTGGCATGATTTAAAAGCCCAACTTTATTTGAGAGAAGATGTGAGCAAACTGTTTTACAAATATTTTACAAAGAAATACTTCCAGCTAAAAAAAAGATGCTCTGCCAAAAAGAGGAAAAGGAAACTCATGAAAAAAAGATACTCACCACCTTTCAAAGTTCTTTGGTTGCTGAGGTGCCAGTGACAGATCTTCTTGTCTATCTTAGGAAGAAAATATGGTATTGACATTTGAATGATGATGCAATTAACTTTCCTAGTGGCTGGACTAACATATTAGACAGAATGTGCAGTATTATAATATTGCATAGTGACTTAAGATGCTCATTACTTTTGCTTTGAGTTGATACTTGCTAAGTGTCAAATGATAATATGTAGTTGTGAGCCAAGAAGTAATAATGAAAATCATTTTGAAAATAAATTGTCACATTTTATCTATAGCACTTAGGAACTTTTAATAAAGCAATTTACTGAAGATAAACAACATTTTCACAAACATGTTTTCCTGTAAGAAATTTACCCCAAAGTCTGCCTGGTTTGGATTAAAAAACCTCTAGTTATTGAAATTAATCTTAAAAAGCAATATTTTTGTGCTATGTCCATCATACTAATCCAATTTATTTATTTATTTAAAATATTTATACAGCTGCCCATCTTAAGCCGCATTGGGGAGCTCACAGCAATAATAAAACCAATAGCTATAAAGCAATTATAAAACAATTAACTATTCTGAATAATTTGCAAGGAAAGTTATAAATGGGGATATATAGTGTTTTAAAAACTTTATTACAAGTTACAAAAGGCTGGAATGATCTGAAGAGAATGTTATGGGGATATGGGCAGGTATAAAATGGCATAGATGATTTTACACCAGTGTAAGAAAGAGTTAGGCTTAGGAGAATTTTATTGTATTCTCTTTTTGTCCTTCTTTGTGTTCTACTACTATGATGTAGGGAGGAGTAATTACAAGTACTAGGATAGATTAAGGAAAAAGTCTAAACCTGATATCTTGTTACACTTGGTGGGGAATAAACTAAATGGAAAAGTATATATGTTCCTGAGTAAATGTGCACAGGATAAGTTTGTTGACTGATAGTGTATTAAATGAATAGTTGGCTTTGAAGATGGGACACAATACTTTAATCAAGATTGTTGTGATGGTGAAATTAGATAAGATTGCATTATAATAGCTGTTGAACCCTGAGGCTAAAATGAAAAAAAAAACCACATCTGTGCAACCAATACATAGCAGTCATTAACTTTTATAATTAATTTGATTCAGTTCCTGATTATTAATTACAAAACTTGAAGTGAAAAAGTTGAAGTGAATTCAGTTTATCATTTATGCAACATTACTAGTAATGGTTAATATCACGTGGTAATATCCTTCTATTCCATTTTATTTTATTTATTGTTGATTTTTCCCAAAGTATTTTGGAAGTTTCAAACTCTATCCTTTTTTAAAGGAAACAACTGTGACACATTCTCTTTCTCTCTCCCTCTCTCTCCCTCTCTCTCCCATTCTCTCTCTCCCTCCTTCCCTCTCTCCTTCCCCCCCTCTCCTTTGTATAAAAATGGTATAAAAACGGCAAAAATGGTATTCAAAGGGAAATCCCTATTTGAATGATCTCTCTTAGTTGAAACTTCATTTTTAGTAAGCAGCTGCATGAATTCTAGTAGTTCTGATGGGTAGTCATGCAAGGTCATAATTATATGAATGAAACCATGGAAACTTATAACTCATTCTATTCATTAATCTTTCCAAAGTCAGGCTTTGTTGCATGCCATTTTAGAGAGTTGTATAGAGCTCTCTATAACAGTACGTCATATTGATAGCACAGTAGTGCTTAACATCCCTCTAATTCCTTTCGATTTTTGTAATATGTCTGTCTTGTAAATTGCTTAATCAGCAATATATGTGTATTAAAATAATGGGATTTAAGATTAATGATTCATTTCAGCTGCTACATTTTTACTAGCATTTGTAATCAACAAAAGCAAGGCTTTAAGGTGAATTATGGCACTTTCATAAAAGTAGTGGTAAGCCTAAATAGAATATGTCTGTTTGTCTATCGATCTGTCAATCTATCTATCCTCCTCTTAAACTGAGATATTTATTATCCATTTTCTTGTAGACTGTTTTCCTTTTTATCGGATAGCATTTAAAACTGATCATCAAGTTTCATATAAAAGATAATACCTCCAAGGAATTCTGCATGCTAGTAATGGGCATTCTTGAATACATTATGCTTACAAGAACCATTTCAGGCTTTATTCCTATCATTATTTTGATCACAACTGTTGGCTGCTATCTCTCTGGCCTAGGCCTCCATAAATAAAACATGGGAAATCTACTAAATCTATAGATAGGAATGTTATGTACACGTTGGGTTTAGAGCATAAATTTTTTAGATTAATGGACTATACCTCAAAACAGAGCCACAATGCTCAGAGTACTCTAGCTGTTAAAAATATTAATAAAATTGAATTTTTTCTTCCTTTCTTCCCTCTCTGCCTCCCTCTTTCCTTTCTTCCTCACAAACTTCTTATGAGTTACTAAACCAAATGCACCCTGCCTTAAGAACAGCATCTAAGTGAATCTGATTTTTTGCTGAGAATAATGTGAACTGTGTTCTGTCTGATTGCTGAATTTATTACGGCTTATGTATATCTCGCACAATGTAACAGTCTAAGAACCACAGTTGGTTACTGGTGGCTGCAATGGTAGCAATTGAGGGAAGAAAAACACCTCTGAAATATTTTGGTGACGATCGCTGGTAGAAGGATCAATGTATGGACATTGCAATACTAATCCTAAAAGAGATTGCAGCAGATTGGAAGAAAAGGGATTGTGGCGAAGAATGGGGGGAAAGACAAAATGGGAGTGCTGTATTTAAAAGTATTGTATGATGAAAAGTTTTAATTACAGCCTATGCTGGACTTGGTGTTAAAAAGGTTCCAATCCAGAAAATAGAGTTTAAGTGTGTGTGAGTGAGTGAGAGGGAGGGAGGGGGTAGATTTGATTTTAACAGTAAATCTGATATAATTATTAAGGGCCACCTTACAGATACATAAGATTTCCAGGAACTTGGAGTGATTTTAATAGGCATGATTTCTCTTTCAAGGTGAGAAAAGATCTCTTTAAGTAGGATTGATTGAAAATGATAACTGTTTAATATTCAAAATGAAGTATGCATTTGCACTATTTAGCTTAGCTGAAAATTATAGCTGTGGAATAATAGTACATTGACCATTTGGGGTTTTTTCCTGGATAGATAAGGTATTTTGTTTTACCGAATTAGTACAGCCTATCCTTAAAATATAAGGATTTCTTCAGCCATTTTTTCTCAGTTAATATTCTTAGCCTCTCTGTAGACTATTTCAGTATTATACACATATAGAAAAATGATACTAAGAAACATACAAGCAAACTTCTTCATCTAGTAAAGAATTCAGAATATGTATGTTCATTTATTAACCATTCATTATGGATCTCTGGTATCTCATTTTCAGAAATTTTAGCAAGGATTTATTTGCAATTGCATTGACATGCAGGACAATCATTGTGTTGTGTGCTAATCCAGTTATTTTAGCATGTCTGGCTTCATCAAAGAGCTTTTTATATTTCAGAGAGCAACATGTAGTGTAGGATTACCATTAAGTTTAATGTTACTGTTCTTCAGAAAGCTGAGTCACTTTCTGAGTTGATAATTTAAAACACTTCAATAAAGAAAAAATGTGATTGATTAATCGGCTAGTTATTTATGAAAAATCAATACCGTTGTATAATTTTTAACTAGAATGAAACTGATCTTGTTTGTACATTTACCTTTAACAGACATAGACATTTTTCTCTCCTGTGTAAGAAATCTCTGTGCCATTATCAAGGGAAGAGCTAAGTTGTATTAGAAATATAAGTTCCCTGTAAAATGGCTGCTTTTGTCTGAAAAGAAAAACCAAGAAGGAGATACTTTCCATACACGGAGATTAATCTCAAAACGACTTCTTGTTTTACTGATGTTTTAGATTAGATCTTTCATAATTCTGGAAGGACATATGGAACTGGAGGTAAGGCATCTGGAGAATATTAGGCCGCCTGTGAGGAAACTCAGATGTTCTCAGAAGACCTAAGTGCTGCATTTGATTTGCTTCATATTCCCTTTCTCACGTAGGCACAATTGTCATGAATCTGATGGACATAAATATTTTATTGATAGCTACAAGTATGGGATTAATATTAATACGGGCTGATGATATTTAATAAATTAACAATCTCATTTTATATATTACGAAATGCAGTTAATGATTGTCAGCCACTGGCCTATAGCTCCTACATGACAATAAGGTTTTAAAACAACTTTCCACTAAAATCAGTGAAGGCAACTTTAAAACCCTGCTGTTATGCATCGGGAAGAAATATATAAGAGTCAGCTTCAGAATACAACTTTATTCTGGAAATGGAGTGCTATACAAGATGTAACTGAGCCGACCAGAAAAAAAAAAATCTAAATGGATCAAGAGTGTGACTTCCTTTCTTTCTACATCTCTGCCGTGTATGTCACCAGTGCCTACCCATTCATTTCCCCTTTTGATCATATGTAGCAGAAGTAGAGCACGTAGAGTCTTTTAGATACTGATGAACTATACTTTTTATAATCTAGTCAGAATGCCCTTTGTTAAGTGGACTTGTAGCTATAGAATATAAAGAGGAGCACAATGTAGATTAGGAGTGTCAACCTTGATTTCATTGAGGGCCGTATCATGGCTGTGTTTGACCTGGGGGTGGGGGCTCAATGTCACTTGTGTCGGGGTGCCAGCAAAAACGGGGTCCTGAACTCAGCCTCCTGCAACCCTCTGCCAGCAAAAATGGAGCTCATTCCTTTTTTGCTGGCAACAATCCTTCATTGTTTTCAGGGCACCCCATAGACCAGATCTAAGCACCCTGCGGGCCTTGAGTTTGACAAGCCTGGTGTAAATTCTCTTTATGTTGTGGTAACAGTGTACCATGTATTTGTATCCCCAGAGATACCCCAAACTGCTTTCTCTGAACCAGTCAACTTTCCTTGCCATCCTAACCCCAAAGTCCCTCCGCACACCAGCTGATACTAACTTATGCCAAGCTGAAAACACAGCTTAGAATTTTTAAATAGAATTGAAATCTTTATTGGCCAAGTGATTTGTCTTGGTGCAAATGCTCTCAGTGTACATAAAAGAAAAGATAAGAAAAGTACATAAAATAAAAGATACATTCGTCAAGAATCATAAGGTACAGCACTTAATAATAGTCATAGGGTACAATAAGCAATCAAATCATACTAGAAAACAGTCAATAAAAATCATTAGGATACAAGCGACAAAGTTACAGTCGTATAGTCATAAGTGGGAGGAGATGGGTGAAAGGAAAGATGGGAGAATTAATAGTAACAATAATAAAACAAAACATCATTAGTAATGAAGATGCTGCATAGGTTAGAGTGAACTGCAAAAGGCAAATGTCTCTTGGCTCTGTTAGTAGCATAATCATTGTTATATAGCTATTTCCTTAGTAGATGCAGTGATGCAAAAGTCAGCATAGAGCAGTTGATCTGATATCCCAATGGAGGAAACAGTTGTCCTGCCTCTTTGGTTAATCATAGTGCAATTCTCTCCTGGCCTGCATGCAGTGGGGTGATTCATATACTAGTGAGCATACAGTAATCACCAATTAGAGCACATTGTCTCTGAACCAGATGTACAAAAGGAAGTTAAAAGGGGTAATACCTCAGCTTCCTCTTCCCTGTTGGTAATGACGATCACACATTGTCAGCTTTCCATGGACCGCTCCAGTGGTTTACTAGGCTTTGGTTTCACCTCCCCTTTGGTTTTTAGGAGATTTGTGATTGGCATTGCTATCTTTGCAAAAGCAGGGATAAATTGACGGTAAAAATTGGCGAATCCCAAGAAACTTTGAAGTTGTTTCCTGGTGCGGGGAGGGGCCCATTCCAAGATGGCAATCTTCCCCAGATCCGTTTCTATGCCCTCATGTGAGATGCGATAGCCTAAATAGTCAATTTTTTCCTGGTGGAATTCACACTTGGACAACTTGGCATACAGCTTAGCGGCTCGAAGTTTTTCCAAAACTGACTGCACTAGTTTCACATGTTCAACACGAGTCTCCATGTAGATACGGATATCATCAAGATGGCCAAATGGAAGAACATTGAATTGGAAACAACCCATTCGGCAGTTAAAAGCAGTTTTCCATTCATCCCCTTCCTTAATTCGAACCCGGTAGTATGCTTCTCTCAAGTTGAGCTGCGTAAATTTGGCTTCCCCTGCTTCCTCTAGCAGCAGAGAATCTTGTCCTCCAGTTGCTCCCAGGTCTTCTTGGTCGCTGGCTAGATTTGACATTGTGTTCAGACCCCCTCGGAAGAAAATTTATTAATTCTCCAGGTGGGCTGGTAATGTGGAGAGTCAGAATAATGTCAACTGGTGCTCCATTCAAAATCCAAGAAAGAAATACTTAGACTCCTTTAATTAGAGAAAATATATCTTTTACTGGAAATCAAGTGGTAGCAACAAAATAATTCTGAATCTGAGAAAATGGGCGTGTAAATCACATATACAAAGTAATGGCAACGTTCTCACCCCCAATAGTTCAAATGGTTCATCCAATTAAAAGTTGTGTATATCATCATGTGGGCATCTCCAGGTGGTGATGAGGCTTCTGTCCGTTGACCTTGACATAGTTTGATAAAGGGTTGCAGGTGCGCATAGGATAGGATAGAAACCTAAGCAAGAATGTACCCCCCCCCCAGTTTATACAGTTCTGGTTTGTAACACCTCCAGCTCACTTCCCATAACCATTCTTCCCCTCCTCCCCCCGTTACTTATGACAGCCAAAAGATGCAAAGCAAAGGGAGAAAATCTTGAAGGCTGACACACGTATTTCACAGAGATACCAATTAATGAGTAATGATGACTAGCTTTGTTTCCATATTCTGATTCTTGTAAATGTAATCCAATTCAATTGACATATTTAGCCTTAAGCAAATATTGCACTCAAAGACTGTCTATGATGTGAGACAGAATGGTGACCCATATGATCCCATTTGTAATAATATATGCATTTTCATTTTCATGTGTCTTTAATGACAGATGGATTGACCCCAAATCTTCACTGAATGCACGGAAGAGAATACAGGGTCTAGCATCCTTGTGTGATTTTTAATGTTGCAGCTAGAACCAAGACAATGTTTTTAATATCAGAATAGCTATTTGTTTTCCCCCTGTATATTACAGTAAACTAGGTGATGTTGTAAGATCTAGCAAGGCTTCCACTAATCCACTGGCTGATGGAACACAAGTACAATTTCAGCCATGGACTATAGGTTTATATTGCTATTCCAGTCTTATACCCACCTTTGTTGTTACCCCTTTAAATCGCTGGAAAAAGATCTTGGATTTGGTAAATTTGAATGAGACTTATTTCCTTGTTTTTAGTACCATTCAGACAATAGTACTTTGAGAGTGCATTTCATGAATAGCAGCTTTATTCTGAAACATTTGGAGATCAGCAGATAACTTTCTCTATTTTAGATAAGAAATAAGTAATAGCAGTTATATTGTTGTTATCAGGTGTATGACTAAAATATTTTAAACTGTCCAGAGTCTGTGGAAACAAAATTAATTTAAATCAATTTAAAATCTAAATAAATAAATAAATAAATAGAAAAGGACTGCAAGTATTTAATATACTATGCAAGAAAAAATAGATTGAAGAAAGCAGCTCTTTGAAGAAAAAGTAGGTTTGTAATATCAGGAATGTTTAAAAGGTATCTAAATTTTTCTCATTCCTTGTTCCATAGGATGTTATATGAAATTCAGATGTGGTGCTGTCAATGGAAAAGGAAGTCACATTTATTTTTACTGTTCATACTCAGTCTTCTGTGCATACAGATTTCAGGTAAGATACTATGAATATTTCTTTAGTAAATCATAAAAAAACACTAAGTGTTTTAGAAAACTATATTTATTTTGGATTTATGGAAGTTTTGCAAAAGATATTTGAAGATAATTATACTATTAAGATATTATTATTTTGTTAATAAAATAAATATACATCTTTGTGTCATATATACACATCTATACTTTTGGATGGATGCTTTCTACTTCATTAGTAATCCTAATTTTTCCTTGTTAATCCTTAGAATTAAATTTCACAATTTATTAAGCTATGATTTTCAGATCAAATGCCCAAATAACGCAAGGGTGGCAGCCAATGGTGCATTATTTTGTATCTCCAAGCTTGTGCACAATTGCATAGTGTGCCAGAAACAGAATTTTACAACAGCTGTAACAGTACCAAATATAAGTGCTAAAGTTCATTAATATTAGGAGTTAGTGTAGAACATTCAGTGCAATAAGAATTGAACAATTGTCATACTTCATTACACAAATATCACCTATCAATCTAATAATTATTTCTTTTAATATGAAATGTACCCACAATAGTGTCATTTAAGAAGTTGAGTTTTGTGAAGCATCTACTAAATGTATGTTCTGAATAGAAAGTATGGCTTCATTTGTTCTGTAGAGTTAAGAGTAATTGTCTAATTATACAGCTGGATTATGAAACCTGAAAATATAAAAGGAAGAAAACAGATCCCCTCAAAGGAAGGAAACAAGCTGGAAATTTCCCTCCTTGGCAGATCTCTGATGTTCTGATAGGAGTGGCCTTTAATTGTGGCTTTGATGTTATTTTTCCTTGTCACCTTACGATATTTGTATGTGCCAATAATTCTTTGAAGGTGTGGTTATATTTTTTTGCAAACAGGAGAATGGAGGATAATTAGGCTTCCTTTACTTTATGTATATAGTTTGGATTAGATTTGCAATTAAGTAGAGCACAATGACAAGTAACCATACTAGTCTGTCTCTTCGTGATTGCTATAATAATGAAGTTTATTTCTGAAAATATTTTTTTAATTTTCTTTAAATATTTGATTAAATGGTAAATTGGATTTAGTGAAGACTGGGAGGGGACATGAGTTGCTCTGTGAAGCAGAAGGAAGGAATTGCTTTTGGTACAGATAAATTCTTTCTATTCAGAAGACAACAATAGCGCAAAAAAAAAATACAGCACAAGGAAGAGTAGAATAAATTCAGTGGTTGGTGGATAGAAATAAACTGCTAGAAGGAGGGATATGACTGCTACTGCTGTAATAGTCCAGAGAGGAGAATTCAAATAATTTTACCCCAGTGACAAGACACAAGAAAACTTCAAGTCACAATTGTTAAAGCTGAAAGGAACTTTAAAATGCTGTACAATTTTTGGGATCAATAAATAGTTATTAAAATCATGGTAAAAGCTATGTTTTTATAGATTTTCTGAAAGCTGAGGGACTGGAGCAGATGCAACACTTGAAAGAATGGGTTCCATAACTTGGAAGGAATGCTGCCTAAGGTTCTCTCCTCCTTTTAGAATTACAGATCTCTGATAGCCAGGGCCATCTTCGCAAAGTTTCTCCTGCAAACCTTAACTCTGGAATAGTTATTTTAATGAGGAAAAACATTCCTTTGGATGGTTAGGCCTGAAAAGTGATATGGTTTTAAAAAGTCAACTCTACCACCTTACATTGTGTCCTGTAAGCAATTGGCAAGCAGTTGCAATATTTTGGTAAAGCCCTCATTCAATATCTGTTCCTTGTGCTAACTGGATGCTGCACCTCTTGATAGTTCTGGATACTTCAGTAGATAGGAATTGTGGCAATAGTCAAAGCAGCTTGGTTAGCCACTGTTAATATGACCAACCCACAAAGGATTGCAATTGTGACATCAAGCATAATTGTGAAACAGTTCCACAACTGCCATATGTGACATCTTGGTGATAGCTCAAGATCAAAGAATACTTCCAAAGTGAATATAGTGCATTAAGAGGAAAGTAGACTTAAGTCATATTTTTACCTAGATGTTAATTTGATTTTTTTCTGCTTCTTTAATCATCTTATCTACTTAAGGGATGTTCAAGGCCTCTAATGGATTTTGTAAAGTTGAGTGCTAAGGAACGTACAGCAATGCAGCAAAAAAACTCCAGAGGACTTCTTGCCTCTATCTTCAAGTTAGATAGTGAGAATACACAGGACATGGGAATACAAGGGAAAAGTAGTGCATAGTTCACTTTTAGTAAGCATGTAATTAGCTCGGAGTAATGTATCATGCTATTATCTTACTACTTTATTTTCTAAGGGAAAATCAACAACATCAACTGCTTATTGTTTAAAATCTGAGTTCAGTACAGGTTTAACTCTCCCTGTCTATACGTTTTTCAATATTCAGGTAATGAATTTGCAAGTTTGGTTGGTATTCTGTTAAAAAGATTATGTGAAATATCAGACTGTGAATAATCATAGTATTTTATAATTTGATATGAACTTTAGTATTTCCGAAATAGTAGCTCCTGAATTTTCATGAAATTGCTTCATGAGTACAAATGCTGCAGTGCACTCAAGATCATAAATTAAGTAAAATCTACTTAAAAACAGGAAGCTATTTTTTTGCAATAATGTTTGGAAATACTAATTGAAGTAATAACGCACTTGGTACATGGATAATGAATGCAGCATACGTAATGAATATTGGAAACTTTTGAACCAGCTATGAAAGGCATTTTTTAAAAAATTGAGTCAGCCACACTGTCCAGAGCCAGCCCTATGATTCCGCATAATAGACAAGTGGATTAGAACCAGTAACTGAAGTGAGGTTAAATATTCATCTATTGTCCTCTGGATCTATTGCACAGAGGACCTGTTTACTGTGCTTATGGCTCATGGAGCTCTAAGTAGTTTGCTCCCTAATCAGAAAAATCCTCAGAGCATAGTACACAGAGCTCAATGAAAGCCAAATGGTAAGTATGGAAATGATCATAACAAGGGTTACTGGGTACTTCTATTGCTTGGACATGGATTTTTTTTAAAAGGTTGTTATTTAAATAAAAGAAACATTTAAAAATATTAGTATAAGGGAATTTAATGTTGTAATAGGATTTGATATTAAGGTGTTGGGTTTTCCATTTTTTCAGCTCTGTTTAGGAAATCTTAAGGAAAGGTACTAATGGAATACACTTTTGGAACATGTGCATGCACTTTCCAAAGCACTTTCCCCACTGTTAAAGCAGCTATGACTTTTTTTGTTCTTGTACCAGTTGTTTCAGAAATGCCTCCATCTGTCTGATATGTGGGCATGCACAGACATTTCTCTTCAATTTTTTTTCCCAACAAGGACAAGCAGCTGTGCATGCATATTCATCCAGGTAGAGCTGGGAATAGCTTTTGAAGCAGGTGCATAACCCTGGGAAAAAGGTGGCTGTCATTACTCTCCAGGAACAGATATTTCAGCTGTACCTCTATGCATTTTGAAGTTCATCTTTTGAAATATTTGCATAGCCCTATTAACCAATCCTAACAATTTCTCCATTAGTTCTTTTGAAATATCTACAAACTGTTTTATAAGCTGGACATGTTAATATATTTTCCACAATAGGTAGGAAATATAGAACTTCCTAGTTCAACTTACATAAGTTGCATTTATTTTCGTAGTTGCAAAACCAAGAGGCCTGCTTATTAAATAGTAATAAGACAGTATCACCTACCAGGCCAATCGGTATTTCATCAGTTAAAAAAACATATCCAAATGAGAATTTATTTGCTAAATCCCACACATATTGTCTGGTATGAAAGCTATTCCTGTAGCAAAGGCATGGATTGGAAATTGCACATTTTTCTATTTGTTAAGGGCTTGCTTAACTTTTGAATTAATAGTATTTATTCAAATACAGGTAGTCCTTCAACTTATGATCATAATGAAAACTGGCCATAATGGTTATAAGATGGTTCATCATGTGAACAAGCTGATTTTATGACCTGTTTTTGTGGTCGTTACTAAGGGAAGATCAGAAATAAACACTTTTCGGAAAAAAACAATGTAAATCACAGTCATGTGATTGCAGGACACTGCAAACAGCCACAAATGCAGGCTGGTGCCAAGTGCTCAAAATGTTGTCACATGACTATGAGGGATTGGAACTGGATTGTAAGTATGTTTTGAGGGGGCTCCATCATAATTTTAAATGGTCATTAAACAACCAGTTGTAAGCTGAGGACTCTGTATTGTAAATGAAAAGAGATAACTAGGAATTTGCCAGGTCTCAAGCAATCCAGATGCTGAAGAGTACACAAAATTACATAAAAGGATCAGTCATCTATATTAGTGACAACAACTAATCAAATACCTGAAGAAGAAAATACTCAGATGCTTAGAAATTGACAAACAACCAATTTGATGTAAATGTGTGAAAAAGTAAAGTATGCTGATTTTAAATTTTTAAGATGTGTATGTGACTTACTTTGATGTGCCCAGAAGGAAAATACACTGCTCAAAAAAATAAAGGGAACAGACGTGACCATGTGCTCAGTGTGAACCTGCTTTCATCTATAAAGAGCACAGGAAACCGGTGGCAAATTTGCCAAACTTGATGTTCTCTGGCAAATGCCAAACATCCTGCACGGTGTTGGGCTCTAAGCACAACCCCCACCTGTGGACATCAGGCCCTCATACCACCCTCATGGAGTCTGTTTCTGACTGTTTGAGCAGCCACTATGCACATTAGTGGCCCGCTGGAGGTCATTTTGCAGGGCTCTGGCAGTGCTCCTCCTGTCCTTCCTTGTACAAAGGTGGAAGTAGCGGTCCTGATGCTGGGTTGTTGCCCTCCTATAGCCTCCTCCACATCTCCTGATGTACTGGCCTGTCTCCTGGTAGCGCCTCCATGCTCTGGACACTACGCTGACAGACACAGTAAACCTTCCTGCCACAGCTCACATTGATGTGCCATCCTGGATGAGCTGCAGTACCTGAGCCACTTGTGTGGGTTGTAGACTCCATCTCATGCTACCACTAGAGTGAAAGCACCGCCAGCATCCAAAAGTGACCAAACCATCAGCCAGAAAGCATAGGAACTGAGAAGTTGTCTATGGTCACCACCTGCAGAACCACTCCTTTATTGGGGATGTCTTGCTAACTGCCTATGCTTTCCACCTGTTGTCTATTCCATTTGCACAACAGCATGTGAATTTGATTGTCAATCAGTGTTGCTACCTAGGTGGATAGTATGATTTCACAGAAGTGTGATTGACTTGGAGTTAGATTGTGTTGTTTAAGTGTTCCCTTTATTTTTTTGAGCAGTGTATATATTAGGCATACTGTATTTTTCTTCGTCAATTGTACTTCCTGCAAAATACTGAGCATTATTACGTTCAGCAAGACAATATCTGGTCTCTTTTGCAACTTCAATGATCTTCAGGGCTGACTTAAATTTTTCTTGCTTTCATGCTAGTTAATGATCACCAGTGCTTTGTAAATCAAGTTGGAGCAGTTTTCTGTAACCTGTATGTGAGCTGTAACCAACGCTTCAAAAATTCTGAGCCACAAAGGACCACAACTGAGAAATCTGACTTGTGCTCCAAACAGGGTACCATTTTACAAAAGGCTAATTAGAAATAACTAGCTCTCTGGATGAAATAACCTGTAAGTTAGCAGGAGTGGAAAGAGTTGGTCCTGACTATGAAAAAACATTGCGACATAAAATCTCCTGTTTCATCTAGAGAGCTGCATATTTCCTTCATTAAAACTGACTAATCTTTATTTTTGTCACTCTAATTGGGAAATCGCTTGCTTTCGAAAGAAGAAAAAATCTAAAGAAGAAGCCTTGAATTTATGACAAGGTGTTAATTCCATCTTTTTCTACTTCATCCACCCACAAGGAAATAAAAGCATAATAATTAACCTTAAATGAATAAAACATTACTAAGTTTAAAGGAATGAGAGATTCAGTGGGTGTATCTTAAACAAATGCTGATATGATTACATCACAATTAATAAAATGTAATGTAGCATCTCCAGTGAGATGACAGGTAAATACATTCTGTAACTGGAATAACAACTTTATATAAAGCTAATCATATTACAAAACAAATTTATGAACATGAGAAGTAATATAAAATGTGGGCCTTTGCTGAAGATATAAAAAGGAAACTATGGTTTTATTGAGATATTTTGCATGAAGTACTTATTTCATTATACTTTCAACTAGACATTCACCACCTTGACTTTTTTATAAAAATAATAAAGGTGGGATATAAATAAATCAAATAATAAAAATATAAGGAGAAGGATAATTGTGCTGTAGCTCATTTTGTTATAGGCAGGGCAGTAGATTATCCTTGACTATTTATTGTCAACTTTTGGAGATTATCATTGAACTTGTGATCAGGGAATACTTGTGTGCGATTGTCTTCAGAGTCAAACAAGAACTTCTCTGATTCTACAAAGAATGCCTTATTTTACAGTGAAATGGCCAGTGAAATAAACCAGGATTTTTCAAATTGTTTTCTATGGTATCCTAAGAACTTGACAAGGTTCTTAGGTGTAAAAAAAGCCATTTAAACTCCCAATGTTAAAAGTTCTGCTTTTGATATTATATGTACATACACACACAACTTTGAATATCTACATTGTTACTTTCTCTTTCCTAATATTAGCAGCAGAGGACATAATATATAACCAGTTGGCACTCCAGTTTGGTCCTTGTAATAATGTTAAATAAATCTAGATTTGAAATAGCAAGAGTATTTTTTGTTATAGAACAGTGGTTCCCAAACTTTTTCAGTCCACCCCTTCCTTGGTGCTACAAACTCATTCTTGGTGCCACCCACCTAGGGGTGGGATTCAAATTTTATGGGCGTGGCCTAATTTGAGGGTGTGGCTTGCTGGTCACGTGACTGGCTGGTGTGGCTTGCTTGCTGGGCATGGGTTGCTGGTCACATGACGGGGTAGGTGTGATTTGGTGATCATGTGATGGGTGGGCATGGCCAGGTGACTGGCAAACCAAATACAAGTGGTCCTCATTTAATGGCCAGTTGTTTAGCAAGTGTTCTAATTTATGACTAGCCTCTTCAGAGATACTTGACCCATTTTTGGAGTTTTGACAGCCATGTACACACATACACACACACTCCCTTCTAACCCTGCTGGAGTAGGTCATTGCATTAGAATCGGCAAAGCATCTCTGATTAGATTCTAGCAATAAATAAAATCTAATCAGAGATGCTTTGCTGATTCTTGTTGATTTGTTTTATTTGTATCTCATTGTTTTATGTTGCTGAATTGCATTTATGTGTGTCCCTTCTTGTGCACAACCCAGAAGCTTTTGTGATTCTTTGCAGCAAAAATTACCAACCTCTGGCT